TGCTTTAAGAATCTTCAGATTCAATTTACCCCTTAGTTCATAGTCTCCTTCTCTGTCATAGAACATCCTCTGTATATTTCTTGGTAACATATTGTATCTAGCTTTATACATAATTTTTGCCGTTTTGTATTTTATAAGATCCATAAACTTCAATATTTTTAATTTCAAAAACATGGTGTTAGTATGGTCTCTATATCCAGCTTTACTAATTATCCTGATTGCTTTTTTTTAAATTTTACATATTGGTTGAAGTGAAGTTTTATATGTGTTTCCCCAAATTTCCGCACAGTATTCCAAAGATGAAGCATTAGCTTTTCAGCTACAGTTTGCTGGTAATCCTGCTATGTTAGTTTTGTGTCATACTCATTCCTGAGACCGAGGAATTTTGTAAAGACATGATTATTTTTGCTTAATGTGTTTTTTATATATTTGTTGTTGGCTTTTACTATGTTGATAATCACGCAGTGTTTACTGTGATTTGCAAAGGGCCAGCAGCAGAGTTGGAGTGGTGTTTGCCCCAGCATCTGAATAAACGGTGCGGTCCGAGCCACAAATTGAACGCCTGTGTCCGACTGGTCTCTCTGCTGTGCACCCCAATCCAACACAAACTTACACAACGCAGAGTCCGGGGTGTAGGGAGGCCCCTGCACTGGTTGGGTTACAATAGCAAAACACAGTTGCTGCAGATTTGCAGATCCATAATGCAGATTTTCCATTCCATTCTAATATGATTTAAGCTTTATGACATAACCTGCTATCTTGCTAGAAGCAGCCATCAGGAAATGGTTACACTATGGTCGTAAAGGGATGGACATGATCAGCAACAATGCTTGGGGGGTCTGTTGTGTTTAAATAATGCTCAGTTGTTACTAAGAGGCCTGAAGTGTGCCAAGAAAACATCCCCACTCCATTACTGTCACGGCGGGGTGCGCTGGTGTGTTTTTTGAAACAAGACCCAAAAGCAGATGTGGACGAGGAGTTGCAGGTTTAAACAAAAAGCAATCCTTTATTTGGATGATAGCAGGAGTAAAGCATGGCACCCTAAGTAAACTAAAAAATACTAAGAAACAAATACTATGAAGTTCTATGACTAAGACTATAACAATGCCTAAGACAATGGTGGGGATAACAGACAACCTGACCATGACATTCAGAAAACAGAGGACTTAAATACACACATGAGGCGATCAGGGGAAGTGGGGACACATGAGGAAACAGCTGACTTGGATATACATAATGATGCACAGGAAAGAGTAAATTAAATGCAGTAAACAAAGAACAGACTCTTTCAAAATAAAACAGGAAACACGGAGGGGAAGATGACAGAAACTACAACATGAACTTGACAACATAAGACACACAGACATAAACACATGAATGGCAAGGGAGACTTAACACAAGGGTAATATAATAAGAAATGAGCTAGAATAACTTAATGAACCTAAACAAACAATAAACATCAAAATAGACTAAAACTCAAAACACTTGGTCGCACGACCCAGGTCCATGACAATTACATAATTTCTCAGCAGCTTCGCTCGCTCACTGGATATTTAATATTTAGATTTTCCCAGGAGGGTGGCACGGATGCCCCTCCAGTGGTCCTCCTTGGGCTCTCACATTCTGGGGCCTCTGGATGTCTGGAGCCTGGATCTCCTCCATGCCTGCTTCATGCCCTGGGGGACAGGGCTCCATTACATGGGGAAACCTTTTGAATACAAGCGCACTGATCCACACAGGTGTGCACACAGGTGTGCACTGTTCATAGACATAAACTACACCTTTATTGGCTGCTATTTCCAAGCACATTATGCGCTGTCGGTCCTACAACAACATTCAATATTTAGTATTTACTGCTGTTTACACTTAGCTAGATTAACGTGATGGTGTTGTGTTTTGTATGTTGCTCTGTTGTTGTTGTTTTTTTGCTTGTTTTCTCGTCTTTTTCTCTCAACAGGTGATCCAGGAGATTTTTTTCCTCTTCTTTCTCTTTTTAAGTGCTTCTTTCTCCCTTTCCTATCCCTCAGTCATGTCTGTCCCATCTGTAACAACTGAAAATAAAATAAATAATAACAACAAAGGTCGATCAAATGGACCAATACGGCAAGGCCGTGATGATCCATTTGGCAAAGTAAATCCATTGGGTCTCCTTGTTGGTCTTCAGACAACAATTCTGACGGCTAAAGAACCAAATGGGACAGGCAATAAATAAATAAATAAAAATTTAGATTTTCAGACTAGTCTGTAAATTCCAGAGGTGGTAGTGTGGGAAAATCCTATTTGGCACCAACAACCATGCCAATTTCAATATCACTTAAATCACCTTTCTTCCTCATTCTGGTGCCTAAATGCACTGAGTTGCTGTCATGTGATCGGCTCATTGGATACTTGCATTGATCAGTGGTTGAACAGGTGTACCTAATGAAGTGGCTGGTGAGTGTATAAAAGTGCCTGCTGACACCACATAAGAGAAAATATTGCTCAAAGTCTGTTATACACCATCACCTTAATCTAACTAAAGTGTGACTGAACACTGTAAAGAAAATAAAACTTTCTGTCAGAAAACTTTTCCTTTCATACTTTACAAAGTTAACACTCCTAGTTTGAGATGCAGATTCTCCTGTATTTTGCAGCTTAAGCCAGATCTGTTATGCTCATCTCAGCTCCACTGTTGAACTTTCTTCTTTTAGTTTTGCATAACTCACGATTTTAAGAATTCCATATTTTATATTGGACTTTGATGAGTTCATCTACCTTATGAATGTACAACATAATTGGCAAATGTATGCACAATTGTCACTAAGTTAGTAGTAAATATACTGTTGAAAATATTCATTCAACTTCTTTACTTGGGTTAAAGTAAAAAAGTACAGGCTCTGAAAAGTTCTGAAAGTGTAAAAGTAAAAAGTCTTTGGAGCACATTTCTACAAGATATTTTTGTGCAAAGCTAAAATAAAATAATATGAAGGAAACTTTTTTCAACTTAAATTCTAATTCTAATGAATGTTGACTGTTTAAACATCTGTCATGTAGAACAAAGAATTGATTTATTTAATAGCTCTTTTTGCTTTTGGCTGTGTTAATACAAGGTTAATACATTGTGGATGGATGACTTTGTTTCCACACCTTAAAGTGTGGTGTGTGCTGCAGGAACTCCAAGGCTGGTTGTAGTGACTCATTGTGGGGAAATGAATCAATTATTAAAAGTCAGAATAATTTCTGTTGTGAGTGGCAGTAGTTTCTGTGTACAGCCTGTGATCAGCTGACCTGTGCTGCTGCTCTTGTTGCAGATGTTAAATGAGCTATCGAGGCTCATTTCGAACTCCAACTTAAACAGTATAAACTAGTACTAGTACTATAAAAGGTAGAATTCAGTGAATCAGTCATCATCTTAAACTTAATCTGATATCTGTAAACTTTGATCTAAGCCAACATTAACCATGAACACCACAAATGAGCTGCACCACCCCAGTACAGTGCCTAACTGTAACTGCAGCAGTGCAAACTAGACAGTGTGGCCTGCATTAGACGTCCTAGTATTTCCCTCCAAACTGAAAAATGCACAGCTAGTATGCTAGCCTAGCATACTTCACTTTGTTTTACAGTGCATCTGACAGAACATAACTTCACCAACACATGTATGGATCTTATGTTTATTAAAAACAAATGCCAAAATTAATAGGGACATTAAATGTAAGCTTTAAATTTCTAGTTTATCAAATATCACTGCATCCTTACCTTTAAACACATCCTCTCTTCTTGCTTTTTTGTCCTGTTTTCTTTTTCCATCTCCAATTAAAGTTATATATACAGCAACTGTACCTTTAGATAACAGACACACTTTATGCCAAGCAGCACAGAAGTATTTAGTACTTAGATAACACTTTATAACATGCCCCACATGCTGTATCATCGAGTGTTGCAGTACTTGTACTTTGTTACTTCCCACCTGTGCTGTACACAGTATAAAAGTTAGACATATCCACCATGGTGTCACAAATTAGTGTCTGGACCCGACCACATGGGTCTTTCTGGAGCCAAAAGTACCCATCTTTGTATAAGGGGGAGAAATTGTTAATCCGAACAACTTTGGTTAAAAAATGTATCTCCATAAATTATACTTGTGTAGCATACAGACACAGACACCGGTGAAATATTAGAAATGTAACTAGCAGGCAAATAAACATTCACTCACCAACACTAAAATCCTGTCCCAAGTCAATGGACATATCCCAGATAATCCACCTTGCTGGAGACTTGAATGACCCAAATTCAGATACTAGATTTAAAACTTTATTAATGGCTCTAATTAATTAATGGCTTTTAGTAGTTTACACATCTGCAATGTGGTTTAATCAAAAGAGGAGACAAACTTCTTTAGAGGATCATGTCTGAAAAGAGATCTGGTGTAAAAATCTACCAAATCAAACATGTGGATCTACTTGCTGTGACATTCTCTTATGCTTATTACCATTTTATTTACAGCAGCATGACCTGAAATGAAAGATTGAGCCCATAAACTCATCAGGAAAGTGTTTGTGCAGGTCGAGTCCAAGTGCTGTTTTCTCATAGACTTCTATGGGACCAGAAGTCTTTGAAACCAGAAGATTTGCCCCTGAATGGTAAAAGAAAATGAAAGAAAACAATGCAGGTTTAACACAGATCAGGACTGTTGTCTGTGAGGCCAAAAGCAGCACAGCCCACAAACTGGCTGTTTCACATATTTTTACTGTCCCCTGGTGACAGTAAACAGCTACAACATGTAGATGATCTGTAAAGCCATTTATGTGATCAAACACATGTAAGAAAAATTACTTTTATATATTCTAACCTAGTGATTTGAAATTTTCACCATGATTCAGTAATGACTTATATATAATTGCTCCGGTCATTTTCTTGAAAAAGATACTCTTATGTATAAAATATGTAGAGAATCTTTATATCTTTAAAAATGTCAGATGGTGTTTTGCAGAAATGAAGACAGGCAGACATGATCTGAGCCCTTTGAATCAAGATTTATTGATACGGCTGTGCAGTCACAGAGCATGGTGGCACACACGGCCGCCTGGCCGGCATGGGACAGCAACACACACACACACACACACACACACACACACACACACACACACACACACACACACACACACACACACACACAGTCAGTCTGTTTATTCAGGGATGTAGTAGAGAGTAGTACAGAACAAAGTGAAATTCAACATCTTTAAAATTATTATTTTTATGTCACCTATCCTTTTTGTCTCAATTTAACTTTGATATTATGAATGCATTTTATAAAAGCAAACATATCAGGAGTATTGCCTGATGGAGCATTTAAAACTAATACTAGAATAGATTCAAAATGAATTGTTCACTCAGGTTTACACAGTCCACTGCATCACTTTTTGTTTCTCTCCCACAAACACTCATCTCATCATACTCTCATCAACAGAGAAGATCACAGTGAGGAGATCAGAAAATGCACATTAAGTATTTTGTGGCAGTTTCTCACACACAAAGACGCACGCACACACACGCACACACAAATCCTTCAAACCCATCTAACCTCAGTCATTTCAACAGTTTGAGATCAGTCATTATAGAGTGAATCAGACTAAACAAGGAGGAAAAAAAGCATTAAATGAACAACAAATGATTTGTTTCATAGTAAACATTACAAAACACCATGTTCAGAAGTCTTTACATGTCATAACAGCTATGTTTCCTATTATGGTTGGTATAAATTCCTGTTACATATTCATACAGTAGGCTATCACAGTAGCTAGTGGAAGGTAGAGCAAACTACAAGACTGTACATGTGTTGGTCCCTCAGTAGGGCAACTATAATCTGTTTTACCAAGCAGCCTATTGTGAGGATGCAATAAATTTTTCTTTTCAATCTAATTTGGCGAGACTGTTAGAATAGAAATTTACATTTATGAATCTCTTGAATTTTTCTGACTTCAAAGTTGGTGCAAGAAAACATCACAGTGACACAGATAGAGGAGAAACAAAAAGAAGTCCCTACATGTTACAGACGCACGTTTTTGACAATCCATCCTCCAAGACAAAGGAGGAGCAAAACGGTACAATAAAACAACAGAGGGACAACATACGTACGGCACAAAACAGCCAGAATAAACGCATCTAAATGAAATAGAGCAAAATATGCGATCATAAATACATTACTTCTGCTGACTTTACAGAGACAACGTGTGTTTTTCAAATCTTGAGTGTGTTGGAAGATATTAACTGGTTTGTTTGACCTTAACCGGATCAGCACAGATTAAAATGACATCACAAAATTTTCCTACAGATGAAAGGTGTGAAAACGGAAGTACAGATAGAGGCACACATTCAGTCAGTTGGCCTGATAACCAATGACTCTCTAGTTTTTTCTTTTCTTATTTTTTCCTTTTTTTAGGTAAAAAGCAGCATGTGATTACATCGCGTGAAAAACTGCCATACCCCACCAGAGAACTGATGTTCCTGTTACAATGAAAAAAATGAAAGGGGGAAAAGGTAATAACCCCTTTTAGAACGCAGGATAATATATACTATACATATCAGTAGCTGTGTACACATGTATAGTATGCTTACAACTTATTGTAAAAGCCAGCTAAATGCCAGGAATTTGACCTTAGCACAGTCAATTTGGGAATTTCCAAATAAAAGAATGCAAGGAAAATAAAATAAAAGTGCACTATTGTGGAGAAAGCATGTCCATCATACTGCAAATACTGCCGCAATGCTTCTTTTCCTTTCTTCCAATTATACGTATTACATTAATAGTAAAAGCTGAACCTGCATTGCAGTGGTTTAATATGTTACATTTGCACAGTAAGCAATATTTGCATCATCTGTACACAAGATTACAAGCCTTAAAAACCTTGGCAAACAACCAAGAAGCGATACAGTGGGGACATGTAGCCTGTGATGCATCAGATGGATTCAGCCTGCTAATAGGTGTATGAGCACACTGTAAACATGTACATTAAACACTACGCCCACAACCTAGAAGGTGAAGCTGCTGTTATGTAACTGTGCTGGAAAAGGAAACAAAAATACATATAGAAGATTTTTCAGCAAACAATGTTGACATTTTGCTACAGCTTTCATCCATGTAAGAAGGCATCGAGAAGAAGACAAACTTTGTGAGGATCTTAAAACACATCTAGGGCATGATTCATACGTGACATGAGCAATACAAATTGTTTTACCAAAAAAAAAAAAAAAGTACTGAAAAGAGAATTTTATATCTTACAAAAACTTGAATGGATTTGCGTGTGTGATATGTCTTAAATTGCACAAGAGGCATTCCCATTGTTTTCAACTGTTATTTTAAACTATGTCAAAAATTGTGGTGGATTGTGGATAGATTTCTACTCCTTCTCCAGACATATACAGACTGTCTAGTATATACAGTAAAGAGGACATCAACAATATGTTCCTGACTGCAAGGAGCACAAATGTGTTAAAACTTCACGATGTCTGAGGAAAGCACTACGGAAGGAAGCATGTTCAGAGGAAAATGAGCCACAACCGGTGGTGAAGATTGCATGTTAATGTGTCTAAAGTGGCTTCAGCGGCCATAAGAAGCTCCCAACAGGAACTTCCAAATGAAAGGGGAAGAGCGTTTTACGTGAGAATAAAACAGTAGTGCTGTACACATGTCCGTATACTGTACATGCTATGTAGCAGATAAGAGTCCCTCTGAATGTGCATTTACTCTGCATTTCAAAACAAGTCTGCATTTTGTCTGTGATTGAAGAATTAAAATATGTGACTGCTTAAAAACACAAAAAAAAGGTTTTCAGTTTTATAACCAAACCATGAAGAGAGCTGCTGAGGCAAAGTGGGACTTGTACAATGGCTACGTGTATGTGGCTAGGTGAAACATACTTATTGAACATACTTGGAGAAAAGTAAATCGATGGTATACTTTAAGAAAAAAAGAAAAAATCAGGTCATTAAATCATCTTAGCTGGCTTTATCAGTAAGCAGGAAGAAAAGAATAATGCACGTGAGAGCCTGGGAGCAGAAACGTGATAAAAGCAAAAGAAAAGAAAAAAAATGGCTGATTATAAAGACAGGGAAGCAAAGGTGGCTGTTTCTCAGTGTCCTGTAGAGGGCGGCACAGTCCAACTAATGACTCTCTAACGTGAGTCTGAGTTCTCCCATGCAAGATTTAAAGCAGGTTTAAGTTGCAGCAACAGTGACAACAGAGTGGCACTGGTACTCCCCAGCTTACTTACTCCATCACGACCTCTGTTTGGGGGCAAACAGGAAAGAGATATTAATCATTTAGGGAAATAAATGATATATTTGTGTTATCTTCTAATCAAATACTCCAACACTGTGATTCACAAAATTAGTAAGTTACCTTATTTCAAGGGAGATACAGTGGTGTGGAAAGTATTTGCCCCCTTGGTGAGTTCTTATTCTTTTTGCATTCCTCACAACTACATGTTTCAGATCACTGAAACAATTTTATTATTAGACAAAGATAACCCAAATAAATGCAAAATGCAGATTTTAAACAATTATTTCATTTATTAAGGGAAAACATTTTGTCCAGATCTGTGTGAAAAAGTAATTGCTCCCTAAACTGGTTGAGTCGCTTTTGGCAGCAAGAACTGCAATCCAGCATTTGTGATAACTGTCGATGAGTCTCTCACACCACCTTTCAGGAATTTTGACCCACTCCTCCTTGCAGAGTTATTTTAATTCAGCCACATTGGAGGGTTTTTGAGCATGAACAGCCTGTTTAAAGTCACGCATCTTAATTTGATACAAGTCCAGACTTTCACTAGGCCACTGCAAAACTTTCATTTTGCTCTTTTGAGCCATTCAGAGGTTGTCTTGCTGGTATGTTTCAAGTGAACTTCAGCTTCAGGGCATGAATTGATGGTTGGACGTTCTCCTTCAGGAATGTCTGGTGGAGAGCAGAATTCATGGTACCATCACTTACAGTAAGTCCTCCAGGTCTTGAAACAGCACAGAAGCTCCTGAGCATCACACTACCACCATGCTCGACTGTTGGTATGATGTTCTTTTTAAATGCAGTGTTAGTTTTACACAGATGCAACAGGAATAAAACCTTTCAAAAAGTTAAAGTTGGTATTCTTTGGTCGACAGCATTTTTTTCAGTCTCTTTCGCGTTGTTGAATCATGAACACTGACCTTAACTGAGGCAAGTGAGGCCTGCAGTTCTGTAGATGTTGTTTTGGGTTCTTTTGTGACCTCCTGGATGAGTCATTGTTGCTCGTGGGAAGGCTCTATGCTGTTCCATGTTTTCACCATTTGTGGATAATGGCTTTCACTGTGGAAGCCTTAGAACTCACTTTGTAACACTTTACAGACTAAAAACTGTTTGTGTCTCATCTGTTTCTTTAAATTGTGGCATGACTCCTTTGAGAATTATACCACGGCTCCTTTTTGAGATCTAGCCTACTTCACTTTGTCAGTTTCTATTTAGGTGATTTCTTGATTCAGCAGGTCTGGCAGTAATCAGGCCTGATTGTGGGTAGTGAAACTGAACTCTGAATGCTTTCCAAAAAATGTGGTTAATCACAATCATTCATACAATCATGTAAGCATACACAGTTGTTAAATCATGTACACGTACTACATGTATGGAGGTAATTACTTTTTCACATAGTGCCTGGTAAGTTTGGATAGCTTTTTTTTCCTCTTAAAAATGAAATAATCATTTAAAAACTGCATTTTGTATCAGGTGGTCTTTGTCCATTATTAAAGTTTTGATAATCTGAAATATTTACGTCTGAAACAAACAAACAAAAAAATCTGGAAGGGGCAAATACTTTCCACAGCCCTGCATACAGAAATAGATGGAAATAAAGATATTTCAGTTTTATTTTCTATCAGTAGCTTCAGGCTGCAGGGTTACACTCACCCTCGACTGCTTTGTTTTTGTCTTTTTCACCTTCTGGAGACTCGGCCCCTTCTGACAGCTCTCCTGAAAAAAGAAATGGTTGTGTTACTATTCTGACTTTACTTATACATTTAAAATCAGCATTTAAAAACATGCAATAGTCCAATGAGTAATTCTAAAATACAGACCCACAGAATGGTCTGTATAACGAAGGCAGCATTAAATTATGTACAATCCCCAAATCTACAGAATTTAGTCTGATGGAAAGTTGCAACTTCCAAACAGAATATTTTGCTCAGTGTAAATGTAATGCTCTGTATAAAGAGATGGAACAAGCTGATAATACTGTCAGAAAAACTGAATATGATAATATTTTAAAACTTGAAGCAAACACTGGGAAAATGAAAATGGGGAAATTTGATGCTCATAAGCTAAAAATATGATTAAAGGAACTTTGCATTTGCTCTCTTTTTTCAAAATTTAAAAAATTGGATAGAAAAAATCCTCCTTGTGTTTCTCATTCTGTTCTAATACAATAACAAACCTATTCTTGGATTAAAAAGCTACAACAATCCATCAAACTGATTAGTCAGTCCAAGTGACACGTATATTTTAATTTCAGCTTTTCATATGTGCTGATGTGAAGCTTTTTCATCTCAAATGGGATACTGTTCACAGTATCTGGACTTCAGAGTGCTGCTTTGATGAAACGAGACATAAAGATCCCATGATTTGCTTTAAGGGTGGGTAGTTTTTTATTCTGACTTTGAAGGGAGGGATTTGGTCCAGTCTAGTTAGGAATTAACAAATATTTTGTAAACATTCATATGTACTCGGATGATTTCATTAAAACGTTACATTTTGGAAGTTAATCTAAGACTACACTGATGCACTGATCAATATCAAATTCCATGGAAAAGTTAGCTATGTTCTGCAAACTTTTATGATCACTTAAGCTCCCAGAAAAAGTTTGCATGTCAGTCAACTGTATGTACTGACTGCAACATGTAGAGGATCAGGCCTTAGGTCACGTCTTTTAAAAGCCGGCCATGCTGTGGGATTACATAGTTTAAAGGAAGTACCGTTCTGCAGTGGGGGGCTCTTGTGCGTGGCACTCCCAGGCTGTGCTCCCTGCTCTGTTTTCCCTGTGTTACCATCTGGTGGTGTGCTGACCTCTTCCGACTCGGGCGACTCTCCCTCCAATTTGTCCTCCTTTGGTTCAGGCTGTTCGGATTCTGCTTGGACCTCCTGGGGCTCCATCGACTCTTCCTGCTGTGCTCGCTCCTCTGCTTCCTTTTTAGCTCTTTCCTCTGCTTCTGAGGTAAAATGGAGTATGGGAGCAGTTTAGAAATATTCATAACTCCTTATTTTTTACTTTAAATGAGGAAAATTCGAGATGAGGATTAACAAACAGTGTTTTTGTTAACACACTGGAGCTGTACTTTGTGGACTTTAAATGTAAGTCTAACATTCTTTCTTTTACCTCTGTTTTTGGTCTCCACCAACTCACAAGACATATGTAGCTTCAGTCTAATGTTTTTTGTGCTACTGTAGTATGAAGTAAATTAAATACAAATTAATCCACACTGACATACTGATCAGCAGTGGTGTATTATTTCATCATGTCTCAACAGATCATGTTCCCACCAATGCTGTTGTTGTGCAGGCCAGTTAAAACCCCCCTGTGAATAAGTCGAAAGCAGTGCAGCTTTTTTAAGCCAATTTTCTGTGGAGAAGGTCATGATCTGTTTGGACAGACCAGTTTTACCATGGCCACAAATCACCATATTTTCACTAGATCGAACTGTACTATACCTTTAGCGGCCTGGGCTTTCCACCTCTCTCTATTTTGATAAACTTCTTCATTCCACAACGCTTTGAAGTTCTTCATGTCCACCGTCAGGAGAGAGCCCGGGCCCGATGAGCTGCTGTCGGAGCCCATGCTCTTGACACTGTGCCTTTTGCTTTCATCTGAACTAATACTGTTCAGACTGGACAGACAAAAAAGAAAAATGTAAACAAGAGATAAAGTATCTAGAGGTATTCAAGCAGCTCTGAGAGACTGAAATCGGGCCACTTTTACCATCACTGGGCATGTATCTGCTGAAAAGAGGTTAAAGCAGTTGCATGGCTGCAGCTGGTGGTGTTTAAGACAATGGAAGCATTAGCATCATTGCACAAGACTGGCTGAAGATTTTAAGGAGTTTTCAAGAACAATTTCTTAACGGAAAAGATGTCAGATATTTCAGTCAAATAAAAAAAACACATTGCGTAGATCATCTGGTCTTTCATGGGAGATATTGATGAAAGACTGATTATGCAAATCATAACCAAAGTGTAATACCGCAAGCCAGCAAAAGCTGTTTTAAATTAGTAAACCAATGTGCCTACTCAGTGAGCGGCAAAGTGGCAAAACACATACTTGAATTTGTTTCTTTACTTTTACCATCAGCCTGTGTGTGATTCTGTAGTGATATAGAGAAATTAGTTTGATGAGTTGACAGTAGGAGGAGGAGCCACTGAAAAAGAATACCCCAGGGCAGCGCAATAAAAAAATATACACTCAAAAAAAGTTTAATGCAATCTGGTCTGATGACATCTATTAGCCTGGTATACAGTATTTAGTTTATACCAAGGACATCTTTCTTAACAATTCATTATGTGAATAAATGAACCTTTGATTTTATACATCACAGTTACATTTTACTCTGAATTATTGCTTCATGTTTTTTGAGGGTAAAGAATCGTTGTTTTGAATTTATCTGACCTAGTTCATATCTGTGATTGTGAACTTACTTCAGGTTGGTTCATTTTAACTCTTTGACCTTGCTCTTCCATGTGAATGTACCAATTGCTGCCATCATATTTGTTAATCATGTCACACTTTGAAAGCTCCTGTTTTTCAAACAAAAGTCGGGCATTTAGAAGGTGCTCATGACTGACTGAACAATGGGACTTTTTATTATAGGCACTAAAAGTCACAGACCTCCAGCTGCAGGGAATTGCAGTTCTACACTGCTGGAAGACCCCTTTTAATGGATCAAAAAAGATATTCCAATTTATTATGTAAGGTACAAGAACGTCAGCTTCCTGCAATTCTTTTAATAGTTGCAGACATTTAATTCTAAGTTGCTAATGTCAGTGACGTTAGCCCTAGGAAAAAAAATCTATGGGATCTTAAAAGTCAGAAGGAATCTGTCTCTGGGGACCATAAATGTCAAAAAAATTCTTTTTCAGCTAAAAAAAACTTGAGCTTTTAGATTTGTCTGCGTGTTGAAAAAGCAAGGAAGAAGCAGAGGTGGATAATCATAGGAAGCGAGACAGACATAGTTACAGGTGATTGAAAGCAGCTATAAACGGTGTGAAGAAACAGTCCAAGGAAAATCAAAAGCACCCAGGTGTGTACGTAGACAAAGAGACTGCACAAGTGGCAACACTATCTGAGATTTCCACTCGGTTAGCTTCGACTAGAGGCCCACTGAGTGATGCTAATGACTGCTGTTGAGGAGAACAGGGAGGATGATATTGATGTGCAGGTGCAACAAAAGATGCAGAGCCAGACTCCCCAAGTACTGCTTTATTTTGCAATGAGCCCACTTAACAAAACATAAAGTGTAAACAATTTACAGACTAAAGTTTTTTAATTATCTTTCTCGTTATAGTTTAAATATTATGAACAAAAAAGCAAGCGGAATGTACTTTCTTATTTGGGAACTTTGAAAGCCTTGCACATACGTGATTGAGTACGAGGCCGGAGGAAAAGTATTGAGCCAATTAATTAAACCAGTGAAGGCAAAATCGCTTCCTTTTGTATCTCGAGAGGCTTTTGTGTATGCCAATCCAGCACCACAGCTCATTCTCGATCACGGACGGTGAGGTGAACTCGACTAGCATCCCTAAAATGTCAATTTCAAGGTGTGTAGCTCTGCTTGATGAAAGGTGGAAACATTTCCACACACAGAAATGGATTACTCATGGGAGACTCATCTGCTGTTCTCAATACTTCCATTAGATATGCCGTTATTGCAGCAGGGTTGTTGAGGTCTAATCTTGTCATTGAGCAAGTAGTTTCTTGGAAAGGTACACGAGGAGAGAAAACAGCACGTTTTTTTTTTTTATTCTTGATCGACGAGGCTGGTTGAATAAAATGTAATGTGATTTACATACAGTCACCCACTTCCATCTGCTTGGTTTTCCGACTGAGCTGCACAAACTTTTTATTCCTAAATGATCTCTGAGAGAAACCACTGCAGCTTACCTTGAGCGTCTGAAACCAGTCAAACCGGAATGGGAGGCCTCCTCAATGAGTGGCGTGACAATGCGCTCCATCATGTCGGTGAGCACAGTAAAGGTTGGCACTACGATGAAGTCTATGAATCCTGGAGATGAAGACGTCGGCAAAGGTAATGTTAGCATGTCTGCGGTATATAGTCACAGTCTATTTTGTGCTATTAAAGGTTAAAAAGAAGAAAAGAAGCCCAGAGCAAAAAAAAAAAAAAATCTTTTTAACGTTAATTAGTAAAACGGGCAAACAGCAGTTTGATGTAGTGTGTGATGTAGATGTAGATTGCAAATGTAATAATTATAGAATAATGACACATTCAGACTGGTTGGCTATAAGCCTTCCTTTCTTCCTTGCCACTGGGTAAGAAATCTATTGGGAAAACTAAAGCAATAAAAAACAGAAAGAAGACAGTTCTTTGATTTTTCCAGTTAGTTGGCGGTCTGAAGGACAGAATTAACTAAAAGCTATACCAGGTACAAGAAAATATTCCTGTTGGCGAAGCAAATAAAGAAGTCAAGATGAGAGAATGATAGAACCAAAAGTGAAATAAGAGTGAACCTCAGAGGGAACTCAAAACCTGCCTGCTTATCAGCAAATATTAGCTGCTGTTTCAAAATAGATGCCAGTTTCCTATATGATTAGTGTTTCTGTGGAGACAGAATAAAATAGCTTATTTTGGTTTATTTTTATTTCTTTTACACATTTTTCTGATATTTTCTTGTTCAAATGTGGCAGACTTCAATTACTTGAAATAAAAATGAGCCTTTTTAATAATTTATGATGCAAAAAATATCAATAGATTCAGTAATCTTCTGTGAAAACAGTAAGTACACCTTTGGCCTATGTAACCTCTACACTTTTAAACGTGTTCTAGCTAGTTCAAATGTTTGTCCATTCCTCAGTGCAAAATTCCTTCAGTTGCAAGATGCTTTTCCCAAAAAAAAGTGGCGTACTGTATTGCGCAGATGGTTTATGTGAGGGTGGGGAAGCCTCTCACCGATTTGTGACTGTGCCACCATCGTTGACTTTCGGTCACAGAGTGGAGAGAACGGCAGCCCGAGCTCAGCTTCTTTGTCCCCCTGGAAACACAAGAGCTTCTTAAGTCAAAATCCTCCTGTCTTTGATATTTTTGGGCAAATACGACACACCCTGCAGACATGCACACACACATCTTTGCCTACACACTTACCACTGCACACCATATGCTCACACTTCTATCAACAGACCTTGGATTCGTCTGAGCCCCTCCCCGAGTGCGTTTGGGCCGCAAATGTGTTTCATTTTCTCCTCTGTTTTGTCACAAACAGATGAGATGTGGAGTCGGGAGGCAATGTTCTTTGGAGAGGCTATTTATCGGCAATTCGTATCCCCAGAGACAAAAGGCTCGTGAAAGCAACCACAATAACAATAGCACTGATAATGGGAACAATGTGGATTAATAATGGACGAGATTTAAGCAGTGTGGCACCATTTAAACGTCTGTCCTTCTTTATGAGATTTACAATTACACCATTTATTATTTATAGCATAAATTCATTGTCACGCTGTACATTTTAATCTTCTATGGAGCATGTTGTTCTTTTTAAAAACACATTTGCTGGTGTGACTGCATATTTCTCTTGTTGGTAGTGTTTTCCAAAAGCTTCACATTAACAGCATTATTTCCCAATATTAATATTTCATTTTTTTTATGTCACACTCACATGAAGTGTGTTTCACACTTCATGTGAGTGTGACTGAATCAAAAGAATAAATCGCTTTTGTTGACATAGCACCCAAAAACTAATACAATGCACCAGCGACAAAGATGAGCAATGACTAAAACCAAAAGATAAATAAACTGCATTTCAAATCATGTGTTTCATCTATAAGCAAGAAATCTCAAGATATTATTTCCAATGCCTCTCTTCAACCTCATGTCTTCATTAAGGCTCTGTTGGACTGCGCAGTAGCACCTCAGAAATTTTCAATCTCATGCCAGCATTTAAAAGTCGATAAATCTTGCATGCTAGATATTCAATTCACCTCTAGGTGCTTGATATTGTAAGGTAAAGAACCTACAATAATACAGAGAAAACCCCAACAATCAGACAACCCCCTGTAAACAAGAACAAGGCAACAGTGGGAAGGAAAAGCTCCCTTTTAATAAGAAGACTCAGAGAGGTGAATCCATCTGTCGCAATCCGCTGGGCATAAGGGGAGGGAAGATATCATTTTTAATGTATAACACCTTAGATGGTTTTTTTAAATAAATTAATTCAGCAAATTTAACAGGTGTCAGTTTGTCAAAATATAATCAAAGTTATAAAAAACTCAAACATAGATAGCTACATGTGGCTTATTGATCATGGCAACATTATACTTCCAATTTATGACCCTGAATTCCAGAATTTCATGAAATTGGAGAGCATGATCTTCCCCCAAAGGCTTGATTAGTTCTCAGCATGACTACCTAGTAAACTGCCAGCTGAGGGTAAATTTGACCTTTGTGTCTGAGGTCAACTGAAAAGCATGCCATGTTCTGTCTGCATACATTTAAACTACCACTAAACCATACACTGTACCACCATCATCCAACATGTTACTCTGACGTAACAGAGGAACTCACCTGTCTGAAGAACTCCTCTAGTAGGGAGGTGGTCCAACGGTGGTGGAGGTCCCAAGTCTTGGCCGGGTGGCTGATGTCTGCTGTGTGCAGCAGCAGGGACAGCGCCTTTGGCTTGTCGATGCTAAGAGAGAGAAGACAGGCAGTTTTAAAAATTGCCATCACGGCTGTTTTCTTGAAAAGTCTAATGGTTTATGTTTTGTATGTGTGTTTTTATAAATGAAAAAAGAAGCTATTGTTAAAGAAAAAAGAAAATGATAGAAGGAAAGAAGGACATAACTATTTGCGATGCAGCTAATTGATTTTGGAGGTATCATGATAAAGTGTATTGATTGATCATTTTTGTGTTTCTGGCTTTAAAAAATGAATGTGAGTCAGAAGTACTTTATCTGCCAAGTTCCAGCTTCAGGTTTTGCCAAAAACCTGGCAAAAAAAATAAAAAATATAAGTTGTTACAAAGACATTGCAGATTAATCTTGGATAAGATTAATGAAAGACCCCAGAAAAGATGCAAGAAAATGCCAATAACGGTAAGTATCCCTGGCACAGCTGCACAAGAGTCTGCAGCTGTCCAGAAATGAGTCTGTACAAGAAATTCAGTCTAAGTGACAGGTTAGCTTTTTATTGTGTTTTATGTTTTACTGCACATTCACTGGCTTGAGTTTAGTTTTTCGTCCCCAGTCACTTAGAATATTAAAAAAAAAACACTATTCCAACATGACAGCAAGACAACAAAACTGGTTTTGTTTTCACTTTGTGAGTCTTCAAGTGTGTGTATGTGTGTCTATGTGTGTGTGCATGTGCAATCATAGTATAACGAGGTCCTGGAGACACCAACTGTAGTGAGAACTACTACAAAGGCGGCTGTGAGGAGTGTGGCAGGTGTTTAAACAGTATGACTGCATATCTGTTGTTTAAACGTAGATTATTTACTAAATGCGATAACATAGTTGGTATTGTTTGCACCTTGTGGGTCTGTGTGTATGTGTGTAATCATAGCATAATGTGATCCTGGACATAACAAATGTAGCATGATCCAGAAAGCCAGTAGTCTGTAGTTGATTTGAGTTTTTATGTCTTTCTGTTTCTGGGCTGACCACACGTGCAGTCACAAGGATTTACAGATATTGGCTTGAAGCCAAAATAACGGCCAATTCAGTGATGACTGTGTTGGTCACACTTTTGTGACACCAGTTCTTAGATCACAAAGACATAATCGTGGGTATCACAGTAACATATAGTACAATACATACAATACATGTATAATTTCGTATTTATAACTATCTTAAGTGATCGTGGCTCAAGAGTTGGGAGTTCGCCTTGTAATCGGAAGGTTGCCGGTTTGAGCCCTGGCTTGGACAGTCTCGGTCGTTGTGTCCTTGGGCGAGACACTTCACCTGTTGCCTACTGGTGGTGGTCACAGGGCCCGGTGGCGCCAGTGTCCGGCAGCCTCTGTCAGTGCGCCCCAGGGCAGCTGTGGCTACAATGTAGCTTACCATCACCAGTGTGAATGTGTGTGTGAATGGGTGGATGACTGGATGTGTAAAACGCTTTGGGGTCCTTAGGGACTAGGAAAGCGCTATACAAACACAGGCCATCTCCCATTTCCATTAAATCTAATTTTCAGTACTCAAAAAGATGAAATGCGCCATTTTCATTACAGTAAGGAACCCCCTACCTCCACCACTATGTGTCTATCTGTATAGTCTTCCATCCAGCCATCCAAAAGTCCTCTTCATTCATATTACTTCCACATTAAAACACAGTATGAAGATCATCTCAGCTCTAGAGAAATCGTAACCTAATATCAAAATCTCATGGTAAACGGACTGAATCATGAACAGACACATATAGAAAATAGGCAGTCGCATGAAAATGCAGGCACAATAATACATGCATAGCAGAGGTTAAACAGAGGTGAAAAAGACTAGCTCACGTTTTTTCCCCTTATTCCATTTGTGGCAGATTGGGTCTTAAAGTGCACTCTAAGCAGGCCTGCAGCAGTCTGGTTTGAATTACTTCACATTAGAGTCTATTCAGCATCACAGCTCCCTGCAGACTGCAATCTCTTATTTTGGTGCATGCTTGCGTGTGTGCGTGTGTGTGAGCACCCAATACTCTCCCTTGACGATTACCTTCAGGTCAGCAATTTTCAAGTTATATTCACAAATACAGGGAACACAATATTGTTGATACCAATATATATTTTTAGGAAGCCACTTATCTACATATCAGTGCCTTCTGAGTAATTTTCAGATAAGTGCTCGGCATTATCACGGTGAAAAGAATACCCTGAAGGTCAACATGTTTCTTGTCAATGCGGCAGCTGCATCAGCACTGATGAGTCATCACATTGCATGATAGTTTGCTTGATAGTGTTTTTATTTCTGTATGCATGCTTCAGCTCAGTGTCTGCATGTACAACAGTTATCGGTCACTGCAGTCGTGTTAGGGTGCTTAAAGTGCTTAAAAAGATGCACACCATTAATGCACTTAAAAATACCAACAGAGTATTATGTAGAACTTCTAAATGAATCAGGCACATATCTAACATCATTCACTACCATTTAGTTTAAGCAAAGCAGGGCCTAAACTTTGTTTTTTATATAGATTCACTGCAAGAATTTTAAAGAGAAGCAAAGTTGTAGCCATTCTCTCTCTAGGATAACATTAAGAACCACCTCAGCATAATTTGCCATCCATATTTTTTATGTGTGGGTCTTTTCTCTGCACTGGTTCACAGTTCTGTGGCTCGAGTCATTTTTTACTCAGGAACAGAAGCCTGATATTAACTGTCAGAGGTACAAACCTAAGGTGTCCATCGCAGTGAGATTGGATATTAAACAGGCCTTTATATACAACCCCTTTAGTACGACATCCACATAATATCCGACCAAGTCTATGTGAGAACAGAGCAGGCAAATATCTACTGAATTCACAAAAGGCGTCACGTGTCCTTCCTCTTGCACGGTCTCTCCAAACAGTTCCCTTTGCCTTAAGCAAACAGAGTATTTGCAGTAGTGAGAACGCATCTTAAGTGCGCAGTCTTGCTGAAAAAGGGCAACTCCTGACATTTTCTTACTTTATTCTCTGGATATTTTCCAGAGTTAAAAACCTAAAAAACAGCGTCTTTGCAAGGTCACTTGCGAGCTGTAGCCCTACTTTGGCTCCCACTTCGCCTCATTAACGCTACATCACATCTGTTGCCAATCTATGAGGTTTGTATGGGTTCAACATAAATAAAAAAAATACACAAGAGATTGCATGGTAGCCTTCTTGACAAGTTTACTTCATTTTGTAGTCTGTATTAGATTTTGGGAACGCACTTATGAAAGTTTATCCCATAAGTGACTTTGTTTTAATTTGACTCTTTTCCTTTTTTTATGATTATTCCATTCTGGGATGAAATTGTGTACCATTTATTTTCCCTAGTTTGTGTCAGTTAGGCATCCCTGTGGCATAATAAGAGATAAGAATATAAAATGTGAACATCAGCAGCTCACAACAGCCAAGTCAGTCTGTGAGAGAACCAGCTCTGTTAGATACTTTAGTTTTTGTTTTCTACTATCAGGGACATTATCCTGCTTGGGAGGAAGCTTCCATCAGATAGTGTGTAACAATGTTTAGGTGGCTGGTGCATGTAAGAATAACATCCACATGAATGCCAGGATTCAAGGATTCCCAGGGGAACATTGCAAGGTAGAGAGATAAAGAGTGTTATTCCCTCATTGTTTCTGGGTGATGTTATTGATAAGTTCTCTTCTTGTCTTCCTCTTGTCTAAATTGTTTAAGAGAGGAAACAGTTGAGAAGTTCCATTTTTTTCATTTCTCCATTTTTGATTCTGCTCATATCTTCTGCTGTGCAAATGAGTTCTGATATTCTTTACCAAAGTATAACACCCAGAGAATATTAGCGACTGTAACGTGTGAGGGAGCATTAATGCTAAAGAATACAAGCAGCACAACAATAATTCTGTCAAAGGAAGTGCTATATTTTTTTTCTGTGAAAATGAAACATTTTCTGCTAGCTCATCAGCAGTAGCAAAAGGACGGCATGCCAACAAACCTGCCAGCAATTTCTGGCAGCGGCTCTTTTTTTTTAGCCACAGTGTGTAAATAAATTTCACCCTGCCAAATCTGGTGTGACTACACCGTAACTCTGTTGCAGACGTCCAGCACAGAGAAACAAGCTGCGTTTGTGCCTGAGAGGCACCGTGGTAATTCTCTGTTGAATACCTGCACTGTGTAATGTGCGACATTTGGTACTATTTGGCAGCAAATGACTCGTTGAATTTAATTTTTTTATGTTGAGTAAACAACACCTGAGCAACAGAAATCCTCCCTTGTTTTTCATTCCAGAGGTCCACCTGATATAAAACAGGCCTGTTTATAGTGTTTCTCTCCAAGTGCCTCCTTCGGGGCAGGATTAATTAGGTTGTAAATGGCAGGTGGTTAGTAAATGGTGGCTGATAGCGGGGGTAATGGGTATGTAAATTGCAGGGGCAAGGGCGCACATTATAAACTGTAATGAAGGAAATGGCAACTGACCCCTCCGGTTGTTGTAGGAAGTTCTTCATGGCCTTAACTTGCTGGAAGTGGCAGGACATGTCTGTAGCCAGCACCATTTCCACTACTAAAGCCCGCAGCTCTCTAAATGAAAAAAGGAGAGAAAACGTGAGCCATGTGCAGCATAAAAAACGGTCAAACCTGCGGCTAATAAAAGCTGACTTATTTTGAAGTCTTTGTAATTAGATGAAGGCGGTTTTTGAGAACTATTTATATCTGATTTGACAGTATCTTATGCTGTATGTAATCAGATTAGAGCTATCTTCATATAACAGTTCCATTTCTATAAAGTTGTTGAGCCTTGGAGGTAATCCAGCTTTGCTGATTTTGACTCTGTGTTTCTACTGTGTGTAAGTAGCCTGGAAAAACAGGAGCTCAGTTTACTTTGAGTAGGTGTTCATTGTGAGACTGCTTGACCTGTGCGCTCTGCTTGGTTTTATTCATGCTTTGTCTGTTCTTATGTGATATTTTTACATCTGACTTTTAATCCCCTTTGCTGTCACTCACCTATCCTGCACCCTTCCTATCATTCTCTGTCTGTGTTACTGACCTCCAGTCATCCTTAGAAAGGTTGTAGAGGATGTTCATTTCATCATCGTCCTGCAGCAGGCGATAGGCTGCGCTGACATGATGACTCTCCAATACTGAACGATCATTATACAGGATAGCTGTGTCTGACCTGTCAGTCCAAAAGAAAGAAAACTCTTTTCTTGGGCTATTGCAGGGAAATCAAACAGCTCAGAAAACACATGAGGGATCCACAGATGTTACTAAATCCTTTAAACATTTTTGCAGATGCTAGTCAAAATCAAAGATCCAAATTGGTTGCCTACTTGAGATTCGTTTAGCTGCTTCTGTTTTACTTTAGTTCAAAAACTGTAGCTTGATGACACTATAAAGAGTGCTGTGCTCAAAACACTGAGTGCACAACAAAGCTATTGCTGCAGTCTGGCAACTAGTGAAAGATCTGACACATTTCTTTCCTGGCAAATCCATCTGACATGGTCAAAGACTAAAATTTGGTTGAACTCTCACCTGCCAAATGCAACAGAAAAACAATGAAAAGAATAAACAGAAAAAATAAAAAAATAACATGTGGAGGGTATTATTTACTTAAACTTGCATCAAAGCTAACATATTCTTTTAAAAAAACTTTCATTATTTATTGAAAGGCTAAGGAACACTGACTCTTCTAAGGTTCTAAATCAAAAATGAATAAAATGACGTTCATGCATCCTAAAAATAGGAGGGCACTGGTCAAAAGAAATCATTTTGTTTCTCATAATAATAGATTTAAATTGTTGTGTTAGGTGAAATGCCAAAAAAGTTTCAAAGGACTATCTGCTCCTGTGAAAATGTAAGTACACCCCCATGATTTTAGGCCCATATTTTGCCCTAAAATGTCCTGTGGCTGAAAAACAAACCCAAATCATCACCTCTCTGCCACCATGCTTGACAGCTAGTATGAAGTGTTTGTCATGATATGCTGTGTTTTCACGAAATGTGACACTCTGCATCGTGGTCAGACATCTCCACCTTGGTCTCATCTGTCCAAAGAACACTTTTCCAGATGTTTTTGGGTTTGTTCAGGCCCAAAAAGAGAAGAGGTTTTCTCCTGGCAACCATTCCAACTCTGCAGCCTTCTTCCAACTGTACCGTCAGGAACATTAACATTATATCTGTGTGAGTTTGATATTGTCTTGTGGTTTCAAAATTTCTCTTAGCACTGCAAGGTCTGACCTTGGGGTTAATTTGCTGGGGCATCCACTACTCAGAAGATTGTAACATGTTGTTAACAAACACCTAAATGCTTTAGACCTGTAAGCTGCCAAAACTTCTGCTTTTACAGAGATGGTCACAGTTGCTGATGATCAATTAATCAAATGCATTTTATTATCAGCACCTATCAGCTACTTATCTTAAGTCCTATAGAAGCTGTAATGGTATACTTAGTTTTTCATAGCTGTATATAGAGTCCTGTGAATTGTTTTTCCTTTTTTTTCCAAATGATGGTAAATGTTTTTCTTTCAAGTTGACAAGAGTGAAAAATGCTGAGCAATTCCTTGTTTTGTAGAACAGATTTTTTTTTCAAGAGGATGAGTTTTGGAGTTCATCTGGACTCCCGACCAGCCCCAGTGTTATTACTGCACTGCAGGCGATCACAGTGTGATTGTAAAGCCCTCTTGCTGCAAATGAAAACATTGATCGGGCGAGTCAGTGCCATGCATTTATGATTTAATGATCCATTACCTTGTCTGAATGTGGAAGTTGTTTGTGGTCCCCGTGTGCTCGTAGTCATGCACCGCCGCCGCAAAGATCATGGCAAAGATCTCAAGCTCAGTCAACCAATGCTGGAGGCAAAAGAAGAAGAAAAGAGGAGGACAAGGGAGCGAGGGAAAAGGAGGGGTGAGGTAAGGATGATGATGAGGAGGGCATTAAGACGGATATATAAGAGGGAACGGTGTTCAGGAGAAGAGGTAACGACATGAAAAAGACAGACGTTGACAGGAAAAGGAGGTGGGGAAAGTAATGAAAAGAATGGACAAAAATTAGAGAAGAGAGATGAGAAGCAAGTGAATTGAAAAAAGAGAGACGCAGGGAATAGAACATCAAGCCATAAAAATGTAGAGGCGAAAAGTGATATAAAAGATCCAGAGAAGTATGCGGCACGAGAAATACATTACCGTCAGGGATGAAAGGAAACAAATGGGAAGAAGGAGATAGAGGAAAAGGTTAGAAAAGCAAAAAAGAAACTTTAGATAAGACAAGCTCTATTGAAAATTGCATTTTAAACTCTCACTTCATCACTTCTGGTTTCAGTTTCTCTGTGATGGTCTGTCAATCTGCTTTGTTCCACATATGTCACCAAATATTACAAAAAAAACCCCACAAGTCTCTTTTTTAAGTTTACTATAAGTTTAGTGTCACAAGGTGAGACTACACATCACACCTTCCTATGTGTGTTTTTGGGGCATGTTGTAGCTGTTTGATGTGTGATTCATGATTACAGCAAAGAAGATAATGTCAGTGCAGCAGCACACTGTTGCAGGAATAGTTTGAGATAATCTTATTTCATTTCTGGCCGAGATGTCAGTGAGGAAGATCGATAACAACTCTTCAATATATAATTAGTTAATATTATTGGTGGATTTGCAGATTTTTTTTCAGTGAATCAATCATTAGTTTCATCTATAAAATCTAAAATCTAATCTGTAATCAGCACACTGTAATCAGGGCTTTTTCCCCTCTAAGATGTGCATGCATCTGAGTGCCCTCACATACACAGAGTGGGGATTTAGCTCAGGAAGCCCAGTCGATATTGGTGACTAATCAACAGTGGGGGGTGGAGGAGTCATTAAAAACAGGGTGGATGCATGATGGCTGATCCACCATTCACTGTATTTCCTCATGGGTCTGCTTTATGAATGACCTGTTGATTGTTGATTTAATGGAGTCTGGAGGGCCTGCAAAATGATAGATGTCCTTCACCTGCTCTCCAAGGAGCCTGTGGTTCTAGCAGTAATGTGGTTTCCTCCGCAAGGCACTGCCCAGAGAAACATACCATGTCGACAGCTGTCGCAGCCACCTTATTAAGGTGATTAAATAAAAACACTGGAAGCGGGGGCAGCCGGCTGGTTAGGGACTTTGAACTCAGGCTAGTGTTTTTTATTCCTTTTTTGAATAAATGCTGCATCAGAAATGCCCTAAAGTCACCTCGGTGCAAAGAAGTGAAATATAGGTCACCTGATAGTAAAAAGAGCAAAAGCAGCAAAATCTATGGAGCAGCAATGATATACCCAGGAAAAAAAGGCAAGAGGTAATATTTTATTTTATATTCGGTGCCTATTCCTTAGATGTTTTCAACCTTCCTAGAATTAATTTTGGCTCTTGTTTATTTTTTTGTCTAAAAAGATGGTTCATGGATTCTTCAGGCTAAAAAAAGCCATATTTAAAAGCTGAATGTCAGGCAAAGCTGCAATTAGGCTGACAGAGATGTTCTGAATACCATGTGGATAAAATCCCCTCACTTTCACAGACTAAGCTTCGATCCCGTGAGCCTGCTTTCTTGGAACTAAACCAAGATGGTCAACAGTTTTTTTGGGGTTTTTTTTTGCTTGTTTCTTTTTAGCAGGTTACTGTATGTATGTGTATAACATTATGTTACCTAACTTGTCCATGATTTACTCACCACCATGCCAGTCTTGAGTAGCAAGTAGTGCACAGTCTGTGTGACATCAGCAGCATGAATCAGGTTGTGGTAGGGGTTTTTATGTTTGCTGTATCCGACCTCAAGGGCCTCAACAAATGACACCACCGCAGAGATTGGGATCTGACATTAGACAAAACAACAAGAAAATGTAAACAGGAAACCCTTCTCCAAGATATCTGGTGACTTGAATGATGTACTATCAGTTGAGATGAAATGTGGCCAGCCCCCTTCATATAATGATTAAAATTTAGTGAGATAATCTTATTCTAAGGTGGAGAGGAGAGTGTGCCCACATCCATCAAATAAGGAACAGTGAAGATTCTTACTCATACTGAATAGTTTTTCTTGTTTTAATGGCATAAACCACCACATATCAGTTTCAGGTGGTACATTATTTCCTTGGGGCTTTACCTTGAAACGACTAATGAGATCATATCTTGTGAGCAGCTCGTAGAATATGAATTTAAGTGCGTGGTCTCCACTGGCCTCATTCAGAGCGAAGACATCAAACGACCACTTGTCAACATTCTGTATGAAGGAGAAACATTTAAATAATGACACCATCCTTGTCAAACAACTTATTCATCCTCTACCAACACAAAAGGAAAACACACAACACAAACAAACGGTGCCAAAAGTCCACTTCATATAAATATTTCAGAGTATGTCGATTTTCACAGCGTGTATGTGTGCACCAAGTAACTTTTCCTTATGCGTATGTTTCTTTTTGAATGTGAGTGCGCACGTTAATACCTTAAGCACAGATATGACAGAGGCCGGGTAGCTGAGTCCCACCATATTGGAGGTACGCCGGTACATCCTGTTTGAACGAGATAAAAACATCAAATGAAAAGCACTGCTGAGTGCAAACAGCAGAGGTTACTACACCAACCCCAAACCACAGCCTGCTGGTTTCCCTAAAGCTTCAAATATGCACAACTCACTGTGAAGCTATATTAGACAGGTTAGGTTGAGAAGAGGTAAATGCTTTGCAAGCTAGTCTTTTTTTTTTTTGTCTTTTTTTTTTTACATGCGAAAGCTTTATCCTCACATATGAGGATAAAATATAGTTTTACTTCATTGCAAGCTGCAACACAAGCTACATAATTCCCCATGAGACCAACGAGTCATTAGATTCAGTTGGATGGCTACAAAATTAGTGTGTGGTGCTCAGCATCTCGCAATTTAGTGGAATAAGAACAGATGCTAGAGATTCAAATTTAGCATCACAATAGTTGTAATGAATGGCAGATATCTATACAGATAGTGGACAGCTCAGAGTGCACCACGCTGTTCCACATTTTCACTTTAATCCTCCATTTTCCAATATGGCTTCACTGTAAAACAGATTAAGAAAGATTATAACTCACATGTTAGAGGCTTACTGATTTAAACAAATACATGTTGCATGTTACTGTGTGATAAAGCACAGCCTAGAGCTGTATGCAGCTCTCCGAATGATTGTGCTTAGCCAGGCTTGCCAAGGAACTGATGATGTATTGTTGACTCAGGTGAGAGAGCCAGCGTTCCGAGGATGCACACACATTTCCAGCAGATTGAAATTTTAACCAAAGAGTGTGGCTTTAAATTTTGAATTATTTCCTCTCTCTCCTACTTGTCAGTCGCTGTCATTCAGTTTGGTGCTCACACGTTCAGATAAGGCAGTCTTAAGTAAGAACTTCATCACCTATCAGCAATAATATACCAGAGATTTACATTGCAAGACAGAAAAAATATATTATTTACATATGTATATATATTGTAATTGAATAATAAATGTGCCAAACGGTTTGCCTCTCTCACCTTTACTGCTTTGAATCCTTCCTCCCTCTGCTGTATACCTAAGTATTTATTAAAGCACCAACAGATGTAAATAAAGAAAAACCTAAAAACAGACAACCCTCCTCCTCCAGCTTTTGCTTATCTATTCTAAGAGCCTCTTATATATGAGCTTTACACCTGCCAAAAGTAAAGTCTCAAACTATTTTTTTGGCTACAAAGAACTACTATTTCCCTCGGTAAAGGATTCTACTTAACCTGCACCCCTGCCTCTCACTATAAAGTCTTTTTTGCTTTTTAGACACCTCATACGTCTTCATCTGAACTAGAGTAAAAAGACCTGCGGTCAAAGTCTCCTGTCATGATTTGATTATCTAAAGATTGTAAACAATGACCAGAGGAGAGGCACTAGTTCCCTTCCAGACCACTTGAATTACTATATGCTGAAAGGTTATTATTGATCTTTTCGTCTAATAGTGCCAAAAACATGTTGCCAACCCCTAGCTTTAATAACTACTCTTAAATTATGTACAAAAGAAAGTTATATTACTGCATTTTAGTATTTGCCTTATTGCCTTCAAATGTTTTTCATGATTCATCTAAAAAGACTTATGTCATATCAAATTTACACATCAACATATCATCTATCCAGACACAAACAAAAGCAAACAGCATGTGCAATAAAATGGGTGACTTAAAATAAGTTTCGAGCCTTTGCATAACTCAGTTATTTACTATTCCTCATTAAATTACACAAAACTTTGAACTACTTTAACAAACAAAAGCAAACAAAACAGTTTTAGAACACCATGTCTTCTATCCATTTGTTATGCAAGGCCAAACTAAAGACGCTGATTGAACTGCTTCAAGTCGTGACACTGATTTGGATGCACCAATAATAGATTGGCAAGGGGGGAAATAAAAGGTGATAGGCCATGAATTATTTAAGGCTGATGGCTCCAGGCTCGGATGTGATCGTGGAAGTGTTTTTGTGCGACACAAACAAATTCTACCTCTCAACAAATATTCCAGCCTGAACGGCGTGGACGATGCTTCGGAAGCGAGGTTTTTCCTCGTTACGTCTTAGCATCAGGCCCATCTGTCGGGTAAAGGTGGAGGCCAGCCAGTCTCGCACTTCTGAAGGCACCGACTCTGACTGAATGTCACTGAGTTCATCTTCTGTGTCCACCAAGCGCCTGGAAGAAACCACATCATTATTATTATTAGTAGTGGTAGTAGTAGTAGTGCAAGACAGAAATAAAGGTACAAAAAAGGAAGATGCAGAGACCAAAGATTTACTAAAATATTTATTGTTTATTGCACATTTACATTCACAAAGGATAGAACTCAAATCCTAATGCTGTCCATCAAATAATATTACCTCTTATGTAAGATCAAAACAACCCAGGCCTCTTGAAACACCGGGACGCAGAATACCAATCCAATTTATAATTCTCCACAGCCACCCTGTTGTGTTGACATGTATGAGGGATCAAGAGCAAAGCCTGCAAACCCTCTGAACTAAATACATGCTCGCAAGGCAGAGAGAGTGAGAGAGAGATGGAGAGGGGGGTGGGGGGGAGAAAGCATTCACAACATAGGTTTTATGGCGCTACATGGATTCTGCACTGGATAGTTCATCATCCTCCATCCTAGGGTGGCGCTGCCATTGCTGACCCTAATCTGACTGGATCTAGATGATGAGAGGTTTTCAAAATTCCATAAGCCTGGTCGTATCTCAGATTTTGGACCTCCACTGGACTTTTGAAATATACTGACCTACTATATTTCCTAATAATAAATTTTAAAATGTGCAGTGACACCAATGATTCTATGACTTTACCCAAGTAATTTTCTATTTTTAAACTTGGCCAGAGGGGCAGCAGAACAGAAATTATTTGTATTTTGTTCTTTTGAAATTTAAAGACCACTTATTAAATGTATATACCCCTTGCCCATGTTTGTCACAGAAAACTTCAGTGGTAAGTGAAGTACATTGATGAAGAGTAAATTTCTCACATTGAAGGTAATGCAGGTCATTTAAGGTAAAAAAGCAAACTTGTACCATCCCTTTGTCTATCTGATATTGATGCTTGGCCAATCAGCAGCTATGTCAACCTCTGAGAAAAAGATCTGGCTACCACTTGAAAGTGTGAAATGCAAAAATATTGATTATGTAAAATGACTCTGATATCTAGATGATGAGAGGTTTTCATAATTCCATAAGCCTGCTCTTATGGAAGACCAGGCTTATGATCCAACTATTATATAGTTGGATCATTATTATTGATCCCTAAGTGGCTTATTACCTTGTTGTGGCTGAGGGCTTTATCTTTTACCCCTAAACTTCAGAGGATTCCCTGGTCCTTCAGGTAAGATCCACCAATCATCCAGCCTGGACTGGTGACTGGCCGGTCAGTCTCAAGTATGTCTAATCATGACCTGGTCCCTTTCATGCAAGTGCAACGCACTTGCGCACACTCATGGCTGCACACTGATGTGCTCTTAAATCACTTAAATCACCTCCACTCAGCTGAAAAAGTTATGATTAAAACCGTATTTATGTATTACAGAAATTTTTATTTTTGACTATACATGCTGTCGGTTAAATGTCCTATAAATAGAAACTATAATTGGAAAAGAAAATTGTATCAGTAGGTCATACTTAGAAAAACATCAGAAATTGTAGTTGTTGGCCAAGAAATTGCAATCAGTGCATCTCTATTAACATCCCTTTCCTGTAAAAACATTTGTTGTTATTGAGAAAATGAAGATGAGAAATCCACATCTGTGTGTAAATGCCTTCACTTGCCTTGGAGAAACAAATGAGGAGGGCTTGTTGTTCTCATCATTAATTAACGAGCTAACTATCATTAATTAACAGTAGTAACAATATTTTAATGTTACATTAAGCTGAGGTGCAGCAAACATTAACAACTTATCTACTTCTGGGTAGTTTATGTGCCCCACGTTTTATGTGATAGACTCCAGCCTCACTATGACCCTGAACTGGATACACATGAGAAAATGGATGAATGGATATTATGAAAATGTGTTGCTTGTAAGAATCTGATCTGAAAAGTATGAAAAATCTGAAAAGCATTGATCAGCCTTTTATAGTATCAGGATGATTATCAGAACTGATGTTCTGAATCTTTCCAGTTGTCCCCAAATATTTACTGCTTACAATTTATTACAATATCCTGCATTATAACATAGCAGCATTATCAGATTGTTAATATGCCATAAAAGAAAGAGGAGAACAGACGAGGTGTTATCTATGGTAGTACAGATGTTGCTGAGGCAGACGTAGATGTCCACATTGTTATGATGCATTTTAATGATGGCAGTTTATTTACATGGCTAAGGTTAAGCCAATGAAAACAACCAATCTTCTGTTGCTGTGTAGCATGAGCACACTAGCAGAGAACCTGTTTCACACAGCCAGCCAAACGTGTCTCCAAAGTGCTGTGTCAGTGCTGGTCTGGCAGCACACATTTTCATTCTGGTACAGGAGGAAATCATTCTGGCTTCTTTATATTTCTTTAACCCAGTCACACCTGTCTCTGGTGGCACTGAGCCCAGGATGCATTGATGCAAAACTCCACTGGAAAAATCTTGTTTTGGTCTACAGGAAGGCAAGCACCAATATAATAATGATCAAACTCCTACATGTAAAGATGCCCCCCACAGGTTTTAGTTTCTTTTAGGTAGCTAGCTTAAAGGTTATTTTTTCCAGCTGCCAGCAAAGAAGGAGATTTAGAATTTGTTAACATACAGCCAGCAGGAAGCTACGGCTGAGCTAGACTGAATCAGCTGGAGAGATGATCTGTGTGATTAGTTGTTATGTTGTGAGGCAATGTGGGGGCTGCTTTTCTGTGATTAGTTATTATACCAGTGGCTGTATGTAAGTTACTTGTCAGACATTCTAGCACAGGGTAGAAAATTAAACCAGTATTTCAAGTTCTGGTCTGTAAATTCTATTTAGAGTCATAAAAACTAATTAAAATCATGACATATGAATTATTCTATAATCTTTACTGTAGCACTGATGCCAGATTACTTAAGCCAGTTTCCACTTCAGCAAATTCTGGCCTTAGAGCTGCAGGGTTTTCTTGATAAATGGACCATTTTAAAGCAACTTCCAACATTTTCTTACCTTGTTTCCTCGATGTAAACAGATTCCAGCACAGACGCCGCATACTCAAGGTTTTTCTTGAGGTCAGTAAGTGAAGCCTCTCCTCTCTCCAGTTGCTTTACCAGACATCGTAATCTAAAACAGAGATCCAAAAGTCATTTAACAAATGGGATTACACCCATGACATATGACATGATAAACTATCGTAAATGATATTGGATTAACCCCATCTGGGTTGTGTTCCTTGTGTGTGTGTGTGTGTGTGTGTGTGTGTGTGTGTGTGTGTGTGCCAAAACAAACCCGTATTTGCAGTACAAATTGCAAAGTAGGCAGCAATAGACCACAAACAAAATACAGCTTGACCTATAAGCTAGATTTAACTGTGTTTTTTTGGAGACGCGGGTTTGTCCGCCCACACAAAGTGACTGAACAGCAGTACAGCAGCAGAGAACCAGATAAAACTAAATTCTCAAACTTACAAGATGAGATTCACCCTCCTGTCCTTTTCAGACTGGGATGAGAGAAGTTGGGCTAGAATAGCGTTAGATAGCTTTTCTCTTTTCTATACTTTTCCATTAAAACTTCCTTGAAAATATCATGTCCTGTCCAAATGATTTGTATAGGTATAATACCATCCAGTGGGGCATTTTCACAAGAGACATTCTAGTCAAACACGGGTAAAAAGTAATAATGACTGCATTTCTTATATTCGTGAGCTACAGATGGTTGTTATTTTACATGCTTGGTCACTGCTGGGACACTTAATTGGAACTGAACAATTGTTAACATTATTAGTTTCACCTGTGCTTTTTTCTGCTCTGTCGAGAGACACTGTCTGCTGTTTGAAAGGTCTCACCGTTCTAAAAATTGCACATCTTTGATGTGTGTACACTGTGTTTTGACAGTTGGCTATTTTAAATAAAGCAGCTCTAATATTGCTGTTCCAAGTGCTCCTAATACGTGGCTTTTGACACCAAGTATTTTTAAAAAAAATGTTTTCATGCCTGCAAAACTAGGTTAGAGTCGCATGTTTTTCTTAGATAGTTCAGATTCTATTATGCTCTATTATTAAGTAATACATGTGACTATAGACCCATGTGCAGAGTGTAATATCCTCAAACCCTCAAGTCCAATAATAGAATTAAAGAGAAAAGCAAGTTCCATCTTCCATTCTTGCACAGAGTAACCAGTGTGTGCACCACCTGCTGCTGTGCTGGAGGTCATGCTTTACCTTTCACAGTGAAAGCCCAGAGAGGCTACGCTTGTTGTTGAATTATTAAGCAGAGCGATGGGGGAATAGGAGCGTTTCGATGCACTCATTGATTACATTCCCTGACAGCAGTAGCAAATTTTACCAAGCAAAGACTCCAAAATGTTTCTGTGAAAATGCATCTCCACCATTTTGGTTTCCTTTAGACCACTGAAAGACGTTTTCACAGAGAAAGAGAGAGAGAGCATGCATTTCAACATGTATACCTGACAGCAAGGCCAGTAACACACACTTTGCTGTGCAGAAACATCAGAATCAAAATCAGCTTGATTGGCAAAAGACTTGTGAGAGTATTTATGTTAGTATGTTAAGTTACAAGGCTATAAGTTATTGCTGTTATGTTGTGTTTGGTCCCACGTTGTTATTGTTCATTTATGTAATCGCCAGTGTTTTCACAGCTTATGTGTTGAGCTTGGCTACCGATGATGGAGGCTACGTCCACACTAGCCCGGATAGATTTGAAAACGGTGTTAACGTCTGAAAACGCTCCGCATCCACACTAGCATTTTCAGTTGTTTTCACAGAGTTGCACGTCCACATTGAAACGGCCGAAAACGCTTACACTCCAGTCCTGTGCATGCGTGAAATGCAACAAGATTCGGCCTGCCTCATTTCTGTCTGCCGCTTTATTACTTTCCGGCTTTTTTGAAACATTGCGGCAAAATGTCGAGGAAAAGCACTGAGTTACTTAAATGGACTAACAATGAGGTGGAGTTGTTGCTGCGAGTAACACAAAAGTACAAAGTTGCCAAAGGGAGTGAGAATTAAAGAATTTGAAGAAAAGCTATCTGGAGCATGTACAGACTGATATTAATCTGTAATAGGGCTGTCAAAAGTGAGAGCAAACAAGACAACTGCTGTATAATGCACTCTGCTATCTTAGTTTAATTGGTCACATGACTTCATCATATGACTAACATGCTTCATCGTTTTAGAAAGTCTCTGTGCTCGCTATCCACACTGCGACGCGAAAGCACAGTTTTCAAATGTATGCGTTTTCGAGAGCGTTTTCAAAACACTGCATTTTCCATAAGCGAAAATGCCGACTCAGTGTGGACGGGAGGCCAAAACGGAGAGAAAACGATGCGTTTTCAAATGAAAACGCATTAGTGTGGACGTATACAATACAATCCACCCCTCACAACTCATCAGGAAACTGACAGACCTGGGCATCAGTTCCCTCAT